ATGGAGACTTTTTTTAAGTGCTATAGCTGCTCTGTAAGATCACTAATTTCTTGGGTTGTAGAGGAAATTTTGACAGACTATGAAACTTAATTGATTGTTATCAAAAGATTATGCAGATAACTTTGAAACTGTTAAGTAACATTCACACCCACCCATTCTCCTAAACCAATATCCTGGAAAGAGCTGAAATTTACCTTTAAGTTATCATGAAGTAAAGGTCACAGAATTCTTGAGAAGCATTCTGAAAACAATTAATTCACTACTTTTATTTTCAGGTGCCAAGAAAATGTGAAAGTATGAGAAGCATTTTTAACATATCTTTTAAATACACTATCAATGCATTATTACAAAGAAATTAAAACAAATGATATATAGTACAGCAAGTAAATAGGAAATAAAATAATTTCTTCTGATGCACTCTTCCTGCTGAGGTAAGTATTAAGTGTATTTTTTTCCACAGCCAAGTTGCAAAGTGCTGGTATAGCAGAAACTTTTTTGCTTAAAAAAAAAAAAAGCTTGATACAGTATTTACCATAAAAGGTTAACTGTGATGTGTTGGAATCTTGTTGTCCAATTAGATGAAATTATTAAAATACTATGGACTTTGTGAGTAGTTTAATTTTTTAGAGCTTAACACTACTAATGGAAGGACATTCTAAATGATAGAATCATAAAGTAGTAGGCTTCAAAAGGACCTTTGATATCATGTGATATTAGGCTTCAACTGACATGTCACAAAGCTTAGAACAAGAGAAGTTAAACAATTTGTTCAAGGTGAGTGGCAATGCTTGAAATACAACTTAGGATCATTCTGAGTGTCATGTTTTTCCATCTTCAGTAAATGTAATTTATTTATATGTTACATGGCCTGTTTAGGTCACTGATTGGTTGTAAAGTTTAAAGTGAAGCAATATGGGGAATTCCCTATCCAGTGGTTAGGACTCTGCACTTTCACTGCTGAGATTCCAGGTTTGATCCCTAGTCCAGGAACTAGGACCCCACAAGCTGCGCAGTACAGCCAAGAAAAAAAAGTAATATAGATGAACACACTGTTTTAAAGTTCTCTAAATACTGCAATGAAATGTAAGGCAGAAGTAGCATGGTATCCTACAAGAAGGACCTGAAGTTAAGACCCAGTTTAATGATTTATGGGTTTCCTAGGAGGCGCTAGTGGTAAAAAAAACAAACAAACAAACAAAAAACTCCCCTGCTAAAGCAGGAGATGGAGAGATGCAGCTTAGATCCCTGGCTCAGGAAGATCCCCTGGAGGAGGGTATGGCAACCCACTCCAGGATTCTTGCCTGGAGAATCCCATGGACAGAGGAGCCTGGCGGGCTACAGTCCATGCGGTCACAAAGTCGAACACGACTGAAGCAACTCAGCATATATGCCATTTACAGGATCCACTTCATCTCTGAGCCTGAACTTCTTTATCTTCAAAAAAGAGGAAATAACGATCTACTCTGCCAACCTTATATAGTTGCAAGGATTAAATGAGGTCAATAACATATGGTAAACATCAAACTAAACTATAAAATGCTGTAACAGCAAATCCCAAATATAGCTAATATAGTTCAGTGTGGCCCAGTAGTACGCAGAGTATTATGAAGAAACAGCAGTCCAGCAAAAAGTAGACACACGCATATTCACACCCACACACTTACACACGTGTCCTTGTGTGCACATATACTTGTCCTTGCCTGGTTGATTTTTATTCTAATTTAGCCATCCTATTGGATAATAAGTGATATCTCATTGTGGTTTTGATTTTCATTTACCTAATGACTAATGAGATTGAGCATCTTTTCATGTGCTTATTGACCATTTATATGTCATTTGGAAAAATGTTTATCCAATTCCTTTTCTCATTTATAAGTGTATAATTTGTCTTTTTGTTAGAAGTACTCTTCATATACTGAACACAAATTCTTTATGAGAGAAATGATTTGCTATGTTAACCATACTAGATCTTGGCTATATATGAGACAGATCAGAACTGTGAACTATGCGAATTCATTGATGTCCTGCTCTCCCACAATCCCACCCTTCCACTCCCACCATACTCCACCTTTAGTTTTTGCCAGCGTTCCTTTTGGAAGAGTCCAACATTATCACAGCTGAACCAAAAGGAAAAAGCCTACAACTCTGCCAAGACATGCTGGGAAATCAGTATGTTCTCAACGATCAGATGTCTTTGTGGTACATCTTCAACTAAAAAGTTCAGAAGGGCCAGCATAGAAAATATTGACCCAGAAGGGGCAGAATTGGGTAACAGCATAACTATTTTTCTCTTCTTGTATAGGCAACAAAACTGCAAAAAGAAATGACAACTAAAAGCCTGAGAGAAGACTCAGAAAAGCATAAAAAGTAAACATAAGAACTCAAAAATACATAGTGGTCTCTGCTCATTTTTCAAAGGAGCCAATTGTTCTGCATAACTCAGGACATCATTGGGTACAATCAGCCAGTAGCTCTTTTCCAAGAGTCACTGCAGGTCAGCACTACATCTACCTAAAGAGAGACTGGAGTCATCTTAGAATTCTGGCCGCAAGAAAACGGAATTAGATTCAGCTGGAAAGTTTTCGTCCCAGCTCGCTTATTACAGAAGAGAGTCTTTGATTGGTCCAGACTAGTCAAGTTACCACCTCTGTTCCAATCAAGGTGGCCAACTTCATGTAACACAAATATGGCTCCTCCAGTAAGGAAAGCTGAAAACATGTCTTTGATGAGATCACACTTGTGGCAGTTTCACTACCTAATGAGAAGAACAGTGGTAGTCTATCAGGTTACATAATCTCTAGGCAAGTCCTATCTTTACGGTCAATATATTTTTTAATGTGCTTGTCCTGTTTAGAATCAATGGGGCTTTTCTAACTTCCACATACACATACTTACACACACACTTCCCATAGACGAGTTAAATGACTGCTACAATTATGACATTTAAATACTTTTTTATAAATATATATCCATGTTTAGGTCTTTTTCCAAACAGTGAATTCTCCCATAACACAAAATAACCCCAAATTCTGAGGGGTTTTTTTTGTGTTGTAAAGTTATACTTAATTTTTTCAAGTGAATAGTTTCAAATTACATTTTCAACTGGGAGCATGGATCAGTGGTTAAAAACAGGAAGTTTGATGAGCAAACTTGAAACCAGTGAAAATACAAAAGATAATGAGGGAAATTCAGAGAAACCTGAAATTGTCCACAGATGTGAAGTGACAGTTATGGAGCCATTCCTAAGATTTCCCACACGACCTGCTGGTGGAAAGCATGATTGCAATATCCTGTCAAACAAGTAATAAGTCAACAGAAAGTAATCACAGGCTGTTCTCACGTGTGAACTTAAAGTGTCTTCCTTAGTATTTTGGAAATTTAATGAAGTTTTGCTTATCTTTATTCAAGAAATCCTGGAATAACGACTGCCTGAGACCTTCATGCTAGCAGAATTCTTTAAGAACCAATCTTGCAAATTTTAAGGACAAGCACCAGAAATCAATGGAAAAAGTACAATCAAAAAGGCTAACTTGAAGTTTCCATCAAAGGCAGTTTTAGAACACCCTGAGAAAGGGAAGCCTTCATACTAGTAGAAACTGGAGAGGAAGAGAGGAAAGCAAGTGAAAAATCATCATGTCAAATAACTCATTTCTATGGCTCAAAAAGCATAAACGACTGTTTCGGGAAACTGAAGTCAATGTGTTTTTAAACCTTGCATTAGAGTTAAAACCCCAAATATTAATAATATGGCCCTTTCCTTGGTCTTTGCTTACTATATTTATAATGGTGTATTTGATGGCAAAATGATGAAATAAATAAATTTTCACTAAGTTACTGACATATGTTCAAATCTAAGACCCACAAATGAAGGGGTGACGTTCATGGCCTGAGACATAGCAAACTCTGAATGCTCAAGCAATCTCCTCAAATTTCACCAAAAACACACTTCCTCAGAGACTTGTGCTGATATTCCAAATGTATCCAAGGGGACAATTAACATTCCAAATCAGTCTTAAAAATATGTTTTAAATATTCTTTGTATTTGAAAAACTCGCGATGAAGTGGAAGTTTATCAACCACACAGATGTAAACTCTCCTAGCTAGAAGAAAAGCCTCGCCGGGGAAAAACTAATTCTCATCTTAACTTTTAAAATCATCCTAAATTTGGCTCCCCAAAGACCTTCTTGAAATCCATCAAGTCCTCACCTATGATTAAAGCTTGTAAAACAAGAGAACATATGACTCTTATCATATCTTAGCCAAGAAAGTCCTACTTGTCCTGATGTTACTGACCGATGCGGCAAACCCCAGCATTTTCTGAGCTGCTTCCCTCACTCTTGGATCAGATCCCAGAGAAGTTCTGTCACCCTAAGATGACTGACAAGTTCTGTCACAAACTGTGGTGTACCTAGGATGTTTTATTTCTGCTTATGTCAAAGCGACTGCCTTTACACAGTGACAAGAGGGACGCTAGGATCCCCTCAGACTACTCAACAAATGCCGAGATTTGGGGTGCTCCTGCGATGAGTAAGAGCTAGACTTTTTACAATGTTGTCATTTCCTCTCTTTACCACATCTCATTCTTTCCAGGGCATTTCCTTTATTTTCAGATACAGGGCAATTTGCCAGCCTATCTTCTGTCAGGGATGTTAATCATTATACCATGCCAAGAATTAGAATGGGATTAGAATGGAAGACTGCTTTCAAAACTCCCTTGCTCTGTCAGCATAAAACTAGTTTTGTGACTTTTGAGGGGACTTTTATTTCTTTGCATTTCATACTTTTCTGACCCAATCAGAAAATGACAGCTTTGTTCCCCTCAAATGAACTGCCTTTCTTTTTTCTTCTTCTCTTTCTCATTTTCATCCCTCTTCTCTATTTCTCTTTCTCCTCTCATAAACAGTGGTTCTGTTTAAAAGACTTTCACAAGTGGGTCTGTATATCAAAGGTTTATTATTCTCATTAAGCCAAAACATACTGAGAGCCTAGTAGACCGGCTACTTCAAAACATAGATACAGTCTTAGAGTTATGGCCTCCGGGAGGGAGAAGTTGGAAAGTGTAAATGAATAAATAACCACTAAAATGGGAATAAGTTGGGGATGAGAAGTGCAAAGTCTTTACGGAGTCAAAGGAGAGAGAAGTTCCAAGTGTTCGGGTGATGAGGGAAGGCGTTTGGGTAAGCACAGTGGAAGCACGGGTGGCAGACCGAGTCCGGTTTGATGTCGGTCCTGAGAGGAAAGGCAACAGGAGAGAAAGGTAAGGACGTGTCAGAGGCATGCAGACCACGTCTAAAAAACTGTGACGTATAAAACACTGTGACACATAGGTCTGTGAAAATAACCTGGACCTTGTGCTTTCCTATTTCATTTTCGGGAAAAGAATGAAGCCACAAAGGTTTCTGAGCAGGGGAGTGGCCTCATCTGAGGAAGCCTGAGGAAGCCTGAGGAAGCTCAACCTACGAGCAGTGTGTGGGGGAGGGTGAGCCCAAACGTCCGGCAGGAGCCCCACCAATTGTTCAGACAAGTAACAAGGTAGGTGTGAACGGAGGAAGGGCAACGGAAGGAAGGAAAGGGAAGAAAACACGTGACGAACACCTACTTGTCGGGAGCCTCTTGAAGTACCTCTACAAGGTCATTGCATTTAAGGGAAATGAAAAGTGGCTATGAGAGAACCAGGGCCAGGGAAAAGAATTAAAACGACTACGTGGTAAGAAGTGGAAAATGTGCAGCTCTTTTCAAATGCTCTCAACTGGCCATGGAGGCGATGTTATTCTCCCCATTTTACAAATAAGGATACCAAGATTCCATGAGCTTAAGTAATTTGCTCAAGGCCGAAAGGGTATTAAGTGGTAAAACCATGACATGAACCCAGACTTATGTAACTCCAAAATAGATTCTTCTCCCTACCCTCTGTACCACAAAACCTATGGGACCTTCAATACACAATAATGTATTAGGCATGTAGGATGATAAATGAGAAAGAAAGAGAGAAAGGAAGGAAGGGAGGGAAGGAGGATGGGAGAGGGAAGGAGAGGAGAGAGAGAGAGGAGTTTGGAAAGATCAGACATTAATAGTGATGTCATTAGTTGCTATATAACACAGGGAGCCCAGCCTGGCAGTCTGTGATGACCTAGAGGGGTGGGATGGAGGGAGGGGAGAGAGGCTTAAGAGGGAAGGAGTATATATATACATATATATATATATATATGTATATATATATATGTATATATATATTAAAGCAACTTTCCATCAATTAGAAAGTAAATAAATAAAATAGTGGTGTCATTAATAAAAACAAAATGAAGACAATCTGAGTTTGGAGTTTAATGAATATAAGTAAATAACTTCAGTTTTAAATATGCTGAGCTTGAAACCTGGCTGATTGCCTGAGTAAGGGAATCCTAACAACAGTTTGAAATTGCTGATTTTGAAATCATCGGGAGAGAGATTTTGAGATGAAGGGAAAAGAGATTGAAGAGATTCAGTGTGTAAAGCACAGTGAGAGAATGAGGCGTTACCTGTGGGGAAGAGAATATCTTCATTATGGAGCAGAAGTAGGAAGAAAAAGCAGCTTGTGAGGGAGGCAGAAAAACGGTTCTCAGAAAGTTTAAAGAACCGGCAGACTACAGTATCACAGAGGCCATAGGAGGGGAATGTTCCAAGAGGGGAAATTTCTGCAGAGACGACAAGGAGAAAGAGGACTAAGAAAGGCTTATTATGTTGCATATGAATGATCGATGGGGTGGCCTTCCAGAAGGCAGTTTCATAGAGGGCTAGAGGTGGAAACCATATTGCAAAGGGTTAAGAAGTGAATGCATGAGTAAGAAGTGAAAGCAGAATTCAAACTCTTTTAGAAGTTTGCTGGTGAGCGGAAGAGAGATAAGTAGAAGCTTGCTCAAGTAGCAGCGTCAGAGGAGGGTTATTTTAGGATAGGAAGGGCCCTCACCCTACTCATAGGCAGAGGAATAAAAATTAAAGATGGAAGAAAGATGGTACCTAAAGGATGGAGTCAAGCTGCGCAGAGGGGAGCAGTGACAGAATCAAAAGCAGTGTTCTTGGCAAGAAAAAGAATAAGATACCTCCTTCTGAGGTAGAAAAAGGGAGCAGAGACTACCCACCAGGAGATGATGAGAGGTTTCATATGGAATGGCCTCGTTCTCAATAAAACACAAGACTGCTAAGCGGGAAAAAAAGACTCTCCCCCACAAGTTTGTGGAGTCCCACATTTTAAAAGAAAGAGAAATGTGTTCATAGGTCAGAATATGGAAATTCAGTTTTGAAAAGTTACCAGACTTCAGCAATTTCTTCAGCTACTCTCTGTAGCATTTATTCTATTTTTTCCAGAATCTAAACTGCCATTCTCCAAAAAGGGCGTATATCTTCCTTGAACTGCCTGGTTATAATTTGGACAAAGAAGATAGCCTTTTTGGTTGTCAGAAATGAAGCAGTTCGTACTCTCATCTGTGTTCTTTAGAGGAGAAGTTTCAAGATAAATTTACTTCAGTAAATCTGGGGAAAGCAAGTACTGATATCAATGTTTATTTTCAAAGGCTATTAAGTACATGGTGATTTTGATTGGTCTACCTGTAATAAATGCCATCTCATAACATCTGGATCTTACGGAAACTTTAAAATAAACTCAGTTACTAGAGCTATCTTCCTAGCCCTTTCAATTCTGTTGTCTAATCACTAACCACTCACACTGATTGATCTGGTAATCCAAGTTGGGTGTATGATATATATGAATGTATCATTTAATCCTCATAATAACCTCATAGTAAATTTTTATTATTATTCCCATTTTGCAAAAAAGGTTAACTGAGCATTAGACTCAGTTAACTTCTTAACTTCTCTAATTTCTCAGAGCTAATAACAGTAGAACCAGCTTTAGTCCTGGTCTGACTTAAGAGCTCATACATCTAAAATTAAATTGTACCACCTCACAACTCAGTTTTTCTTACAGATATTCTTCTTCTCTAACTCCTTTGGTTATCTAAGACATTTCCTTTCTGCCTCCCTCCTTATCGCAAGAGTTTATTATTATTGGAAGAGACTCCAGAATACTGTACCTCTTTAGACTATGTGGAAGCAAATTGAAATAAGTTAAATCAACTTTAAAATAATTAAGCTGATTTGTTCTTCATCATATCTGCTTTGTTTCCCCCGCACTTCCTACATTCACCACCCCTTTCCCCATATTGGTTTCAAGAGAATATCCAAGTGCGAGAATGTGAATATTATTGTGAAAATAACCCTGTAAAACAGCTTCTCTAAACAAGACTGTGCTTAAGTCAAGTGTGTGAATGCATAGAGGATATAGAGAGCCTTCTCATCATCAGAGACCCAGAAAGATTTGAGCTGAGGTTTTCACACCCTTAGAGCTGATATTCACTTGTTCACTCAACAGCTTCATTGCTTAAGCTGGTTCCTGCCCTTTAGGAGTTCTCAGACAAGAGGAGAAGGCACCAGGTATTTTATAATTGTAGAACAGCCTGGTAATGCCAGAAAAGAGTTGGGGAGGATGGCTGAACAACAGTTTGACACTTTTTTTTATCATTAATTATATGTATTTCAAGCTAACTTCCCAATATGGGTTCATTTCCTTTTTGCATCAACATGAAGCCTCAAATGAAACCGCACAGTGTCTTTCATTTCAAAATGAAACTCATGACACAGCTAAGCAGTGAGTCATCTTCAGAAACCATAAAATTTCAATCCCAGTGTTTTAAAAACTGGCTGGGTCTTTTCCATCATCAAGTTGCATTGTGTATTTCTCCACCAGAACTTCTTTATCACCCATTTTAATTTCGAAGATGACTGCCAAAATAGTTCATCTTTGTGCCAGCAATAAAATCTACAATTCTCCACACCAATAAAAGTGACTTTGAAACAGAAGAAATAAAGTGAGAGAACTATTTTCCTTACAGACCTAGATAATGGAGGAAATTAGAGATTTGATCTCATAATGTTACACAAAGACTACCCTCACAGCCTAAACTTGTGCTATTATTTTCATTTCATTGGGCGCCCTTTAGGGGTTAACAAAAGGCTGTATCTTTTCACTTCAGGAAGTGATTCCATGGAAACAAACACACACACAAAACCAGCTAGGACCTCTGACAGTAAAAAGCAGAAAGAGCAGGTCCAGGTCAATAACACAGTTCTGTATGACTGAGGAAGCTTCCTAAACCCTGGTGACATCACAGGTGCTTATCTATTTCCCATTCTCCTCTTGGGAAAAAAAAAAAAAACTCAGCAATTTCTCAGGGTTAGAACACAGGTCGATGTGAACCAACCACCTAAGAAGGTTCTTTAGTTTGTAGCTTCACTGCTACATACTAAAACAAATCCATATAAGACAAAAGGAGAAGGAGATGAAAGTGTATGTCAGTAATGCAGATCTCAACTTCTATCTGATTTTCAAAAAGTATTCTTGTGTAGCCGAGTATACCAAAGCTTACACGTAGCTGTGCATCATCTAGATGCAACTCTGCACTCCTCTTCACCCCGACTGTCACTAACCCCACAGTGGTGTACCTGCCTTCCTACTTCAGCCCTGCTGTGTAAGGTTACGTGAAAAATGCACAGACGACTAAGTGGAATTGTAAAACCCTCGCAGAGGCCAGTCCCAAGGCTACTGATCACAGGCAAATCATGTAATAATGGTTTCCAATGCTTTTGACATGCACCAAGACAAGACGTTTCATTAATTTAATGTAGTGCTCACTGGAAAATCCTAATGAATCACCGACTGTGTTACAAACAAGGAAACTGTCAGCCCATATCCAACTTGGCTACTCTGTGTCACAGGGAGGTGACAATAAACTAGAAAGAAGTACTTGGATTTCACAACTCCTAATAGTTTGAGTTTGGTCAAAATCAAGGCCTTTCCTAAATACTTATCAGCTAGAAAAACAGATACACAGAACCACTTCCATTGTGACACATCTTCCACTTTCAGCCTTACCAATTTTAGTGCACCCCCAGATGAGATCCCGGTCTTTCCTTCTCTCTTCACAACAGAGTCACATCTTGCTCCAGGGTTAGGTGGCTCAGCCCATAAAGCGAAAATCTCTTGTAATTCAAATTACCCTTGAAAAAGCCTTAAGTGCCCTAGAGCACTCAATGTCCTCAGGAGGTGATATTATCAGTTCTCTAATGTTCCTCTGGGGCTTTTGATTAATTTTTCAATTTCTACATTGAGCACATCAATAAACCTTCACTATCCACTTACCAAGTTCCTTGAAAATCTGTCTTACGTCTTTATTACTGGTCAGTGAAACCCTTAAAATTATTCAGGACAATCTTTCCGTGAATTCCTACCAAAGGTGTTGACTATTAATATTTCAGGCTTGATTGAATCTGCTGAGTAGAATGAGCAGAGAACCACACCACCACTATATCCCAACCTTTACCCCACCTTTTTGTTTCCCACCTCTATCCTGTCATTTCTCTCCTTTCCTCTCTCCTTTTAATTCCACAAAGTTCAGCTGAGATAAATCAATTGTTCCTATCAGGAAAATCTGCTATAATGAGGAAATATTCTCAAGAAATACTTATAAACCCATTTGCCTGACTTTCTTCCACCAAACCTATTGGGTATTGCTCTCCTATACTCATCCACTCACCCATTCTGCAAGTATTCACTATGCACCAGCTACACACCAAACATTATTCTAAGCACAGGGGTCTCATCAGAGTTCACAACAGGCAAAGTCCCCGCTCTCAAGGAACTCACTTTCCGGTGGGGTAGGCAGCAAGTAGGCATATCCCTAAGACACTATTAGGAAGGACTGAGTGCTAAATATGGGGGATCAGGTAGTCAGACAAGGCTTCTAAAAAAGTGGCATTTGAGCAAAGACCCTAGTAAGCAAGGAAACAAGCCATGTGGATATCTGGGGGAACCATGTTAGCAACAGAGACAGCAGTAAGTGTACAGGCCTTGAAAGGAGCTTGGCGCTGGAGATTTCCAGAAACAACCAGGAAACTTCCAGGATGGGTGAAGCCAAAAGCTCAAAGAGAAGAGTGGTATGAGATAAGTTTTTGATTTGGCCAGAATCCGGGACTTTGGCCTTTATCTGTGAGTGTTATGCAAAGCCCTAATCCGCAGATCTTTTTGTAGGGAGGTAGCATGACCCAGGGGCTTCCCTGGTAGCTCGGCTGGTAAAGAATCCGTCTGCAATGCAGGAGACCCCAGTTCTATTCCTGGGTTGGGAAGATCCCCTGGAGAAGGGATAGGCCACCTACTCCAGTATTCTTGGGCTTCTCTAGTGGCTCAGATGGTAAAGAATCCTCCTGAAATACTGGAGACATGGGTTCGATCCCTGGGTTGGGAAGATTCCCTGGAGAGGGGAACAGCTACCCAGTCCAGTACTCCAGCTCGGAGAATTCCCACAGACAGAGGAGCCTGGCGGGGTGAAGCCTGGGGGGGTCGTGAAGAGTTGGACACAACGGAATGACTAAGCAGAGCGCAGCGTGACCTGACTGAGGCCTTTTTCAGAAGGATTTCTCCATGTTCTGTGGAGAGCTGTGGGGAGGGGCCTGTAGGGAGAAAGTCAGGACCCTGGGAGGCTCCCCTAGCCCCTGACCACCGCCTAGTATCTCAAACTAGTGTTTCTCAGTATTTGCCTTTCCTGTCAGGAAAAGCAAGTGAGAAAAGATTTCTGGTTAAGTGGTTTCTGGTTTCTTCACCAAACTGTGTGACTTTCACACAGCCCTCGTCTCCTGCTCTCGAGGTCTGACTCCCTGTCAAGCCCGCTTCGAACCTGCCCTGAGAGCAGAGCTCCCTGGTACTCAGGCCCCTTCAGGGCCCTGGAAGCCACAGAGAGTCGCTGAAAACCACCCTCTTCCTAATACAGGATTCTACCTCTTCACTGTCTTTTTTACACAGAGATTCTGGCAGCTTTATCAAATATCATACTAGCGTGAAACAAAAAAAAAAGTGTTTCTACTAATAAAACAATGTGCACTCTAACACAGGTGGTAAATGTGTTTCTGAAGACCTTAATATGTGTACAGTAGCTTTCAGTGCCATGAAAAGAATCTGTAAATGTAACAGATTGAGTTTTAAACCCGTAAGAAGTATTAATTTTTCAACTTTACCTTAGACTTTAGAGGTGAATAGTATGGTTTTTTTTTTAATTAAAAATGAAAAGGGGCACTTGATTTAGTGCAAAGCACAATGCAGAGAGCAAATTATTATCACTGGACTCTCCATTTCTCATTTATATACATATGTGTATGTGTGTGTATATACATATGTAACACATGTGTATATAGACACACATACACATATAGGTACACATTTACGTAAATTTTTATCACTTTTTCCTGGGGTATTTGTATTTAAATCTTCTGGCAGCCCAGCACTTAGCTCCTCCCACTGCCAGCATACCCCTGATCACTGAGTGGCACTCAGATGCCTGAGTCTGGCTATTGGCTGCTGCTGATGTCATGCCAAGGAAAGTAGACTCGACTTTTTAAGCCATATGGGTCCACTGAATATTTCACAGAATACAAGTAATATAATTTTTCAATGTTTATTCCAACATTTGTTGTAGACCAACCATGAAACAGGCACTGTGCTAGGCAATGCGTAGTGAAGTCGCTCAGTCGTGTCCGACTCTTTGCGACCCCATGAACTGTAGCCTACCAGGATCCTCAGTCCATGGGATTTTCCAGGCAAGAATACTGAAGTGGGTTGCCATTTCCTTCTCCAGGGGATCTTCCCAACCCAGGGATCGAACCTGGATCTCCCACATTGTAGGCAGAAGCTTTACCATCTGAGCTACCAGGGAAGCAGACAACCACAAATAAGATGTAGCCTGTGTCCCTCCAGGATGGACTGTTGCTGAAGCTGAAGCTCCAATACTTGGGCCACCTGATGTGAAGAAGTGACTCACTGGAAAAGACCTTGATACTGGGAAAGATTGAAGGCAGGAGGAAAAGGGGATGATAGAGAATGAGACGGTTGGATGACATCACTGACTCAATGGACATGAGTTTGAGTAAGCTCCAGGAGTTGGTGATGGACAGGAAAACCTGACGTGCTGCAGTCCATGGGGTCACAAAGAGTTGGATACAACTGAGTGACTGAACTCACTGATCGACTGACTGCGCCCCTCCAGTGCAACTGCCACAAGGAAAGTAGCTGGTAGGGAGCTAAGGTTAAGGACAAAAAGTCGGCAGCAGCCTTCTGTAACAGTCTAAGAAGAAAATGGTGAAGCTGAAAGAAACTTAAGGGACATGTCAGGGATAGAGTCAACTGGATTCTCTCAGCCATTTCACTGTCCAGTTTTCTGATCAACTCTTAATTAATAAACTCCAAGATTTTCCCCGTGTTTATAATACTTCCAAACTCTGAATGTGATCCAAGTTCTGAGAGCTGTACCAGAGTACCTTCCTTTATTTGCTTATACATAAGTAGAATAAATATTGCGAATGAGTTTAGTCAAGGATTTGGGTACCTGGGTTTTAAGGTAATAAAGAAGAGGAAACTCATCCAGGAAAAATATGAAAAATAAAGGTCCGCTTTATAAAGCAATGAGGATAAAATAAAAGTACTAAAGTCCTTATTAAATAGACCCCATCCAACACTCTCAATGAAGTATTACAATACTTTCCAGTACTTCAATGGAAAAATAAAAGGCTAAAGTTTTGGCACCATCTGAAATCTGGCAGGTATAATGTTTAGCTAATCTATAAAGCTGTCTTTCTCCTGGGATGTCTTCAAAAAACAGTACAGACTGCCTCAGAGCCACATTTTAAAACAAATAGTCCATGTCAGAGGGAAGAAGCCTTGAGGTGCTATTTTGTTTGCTTTTCAGAATAAAATCAGGATTAGGCTAGAGACACCAAATTGCCTCAGATTATGACCTGAGACATTTAACCACAAGTCGAGGAAATCTATTTGTGACAAATAAGCCCTTATGTTGGTGTTCAGTCATTTAGTCCTGCCTGACTCTACGACCCTATAAACTGCAGCATGCCAGGCTTCCTTGCCCATGATGGAGAGAAATCATCTCCTCCCCAGTGTTTCAAGTGAAAAGCCTTGACACGTTTTACTCCTTAAAATGAGTGATTCTGGCAACTAATTTACAAAGATCTTAAGCCAAGCACCAAAGTGAAGGCAGTTGTTACTATGTACACATTTCTATATCCAACCATATAATCCTGATTTTCTGATCTTTGCAAATAAGTAACTGTGAACAAATAGACAAATAATAATAGACTGAGAAAATTGAGCTCTCAACTGCCTGTTTGTTGGCACTATTGTTTCAGTTATCTATCAGCATAAGAAACCACTCTGAAATTTGTGCTTAGCTGCTCATTTGTGTCCAATTCTTTGAGACCCCATGGACTGTAGTCCACCAGGCTCCTCTGTCCATGGAATTCTCCAGGCAAGAATACTGGAGTGGGTTGCCATGCCCTCCTCCAGGGGGTCTTCCCAACCCAGGGGTCGAACCCAGGTCTCTTGCATTGCAGGTGGATTCTTTGCCATCTGAGCCACTGGCGGAGCCCTGTGACTCTGAGATATAGTGCGCTGCATAAAACAACAAACATACTATTATGTTGTCCCATTCTGGGGGGCAGGAACTTTAACAGAACACAGAGGGATGACTCATTTCTGCTCAGGGGTGGTTGGGGCCTCAGCGATGGTGACCCCACAGGCTGGGAGGTGACTCAAAAGGTATGGCTGGAATAGAGGGTCAGGAGAATCCACTTTCAATATGGTTTCTTTAATCAAATGTCTGGCACTTGTCCTGGGATTGGTGAAGGACAAGCTCAGCTGGAACTGTCCACCAGAGTGCCTACACGTGTCCTCCCAAACTTGGCGGTCTTAGGGTAATCTGAATCATGACATGCGGGCTCAGGGCTCAGAGGACAAGCCTTCCAGTGAGCAAGGAGGAAGCTGCATGGCCTTTTTGATCCAGCCTCGGAGGCCAGCCAGCATGAGTCAGGGTGCTCTGCTGGTCAAAGCCAGCCAGATTTGAGCAAAGGAGACACAGACCCCACCTCGTGCTGGGAGGAATGTCAAAAAATTGCAACCTGGTTAAACTGTCCCAGTTGCCTTCCACATAAGATGTCACTACCCACAGAGAGGCAGAGTGTATTTAGGAGCAGAGGGTGGAGTGGGGGATAGGAGAAAGGGACCCACAGGTACACGTGAGTTAAATGAGGGGACAGTCCTTACCAGTGTGATCTTCCCACTGGTCACTTCCAGGAAAACTCCGGGTCTAATTTCCACGTAGTAGATTTGCTACTTGGAACTAAGCTTCTTAACGTGCATTCTTCAAGACCTTCCTGAGGACTCCACGACCCTTTGGAGTAACAATGCATCATATGTGACTCTGTTATCAACACCATGGGGCTGCCGTGATTCCTTCCCACCCAGTCCTTACACATCACCACAGAAATAAGGAGCCAGAAAATCACCAGAGCTGAATAGTCATCCCCGTGTTGAACGTATGGAGCAATTTGACCCCTGTCCTGGGTACCTATCCTGACTCCTCCGGGTGGGGAAGAATGGCTGGGGGAGGGGAAGACAAAGAAGGATTCCTGTTACCATTCACCCCCGAAGTCATCTTCCAGCTGCTCATGTCACACATAGTGGGGCCAGGGAGCAGCAGGGAAGGGAGACGAAGGTGAGCAGTGTACAGGGCCAGGCATGGATCAGCAAGCCATCAAGATTAATTATATAATTATGCAACTATATTAATACCAAATGAAATAAACTCTAACACATAAAACTTTACTAGAGATAGAGTGTCACTTCATAATGACAAAAGGTACATTTCATGTAACAAAAATAATTTTAAATTTTTATGCAACTTTTGACATAGCCTCAGAATACTTAAGGAAAGTTTAGCAGGAAAAAATAGATAAATGCAATATTATACAGTGACAGTATAATAAATATTTCTATACCTGATAGACCAAGAATATAAAAAAAAGACAAAACTAAGATTCTCAAAGACACATGCATGCCTATGTTCATAAAGCACTATCTACAATAGCCAAGAGATGGAGACAACCTTAACGCCCATCGGCAGAGAAGTGGATAAAGAAGATCTGATGTGTGTGTGTGTGTACATATATAAACTGAAATATTACTCAGCTATTAAAAAGAATGAAATGATGCCATTTGCAAAAACATAGATGAACCTAGAGACTGTTGTACAAAGCAAAGTGAGTCAGAAAAAGAAAGACAAATGCTATATGATATCACTTCTAACACAAACGGACGTATCTACAAAACAGAGACAGACTCAGAGACATAGAGAATATACACTTGTGGTTGCCAAGGAGGAGAGGGAAGGGAGGAAGGATTGGGAGTCTGGGATTAGGAGATGGAAACTATGATATATAGGATGGATAAACAACAAGGACCTACTGTGTGGCACAGGGGACGATATTCAATATCCCATAATAAGTCATAATGGAAAAGAATATGAAAAAGAATAAATACACATATGTATCACTAGAAAAGGCCCTGGTTGTGGGAAAGATTGAAGGCAGGAGGAGAAGATGAGATGGTCAGATGGCATCACCGACTCAGTGGGACATGAGTTTGAGTAAGATCCGGGAGATGGGGAAGGACAGGGGAGCCTGCCGTGCTGCAGTCCACGGGGTCACAAAGATTCAGACACAACCGGGTGACTAAACAACAACAGCAATATACATGTATAACTGAGTTCCTTTTCTGCTCCGCAGAAATTAACACAACATTGTAAATCAGCTAAATTTCAATAAAAATTTTAAAAAGGAAAGAAGAATATTAAAAAATCAGCAAGAACGTAGAAGGTATTTAATTACATAATTATAAAAGTTAAAAGCATAATTATGATTTAAAATATATACATTGTAGAACAATTAGCCCCAACTGCAGAATATACTTCCCTTTCAAGAACACTTGAAACACAAAGATTGACCCACACAGATCCTTAGAGTGAATTTCAAAAACAAACCAAAATATTGGTTTCATTCAAAGCATAGTCTCTGATCACACCACAGTGTTGTTAAACTTGACATCACTAATAGAAAGATGTCCAGAAAAATTCCATGTTTGAATTCAATAAACTTCTAAACAGCTCTTGAATCAAAAAGCAGATTAAGTTGGAAAATAGAAAAAATTATAACTGAATAACAGTAAAAGCACCACAAACAAAACTTGGGGAAATACAGCTAAAGCAGACACTAGATAGAAATTGGTATCTTAAAAGCCTGTATTGGAAAAGAAGAAAGTCATAAAAATTAAAGTTCTAAGCATCGACCTGGGTAGAGGAACGGAACAGATATTTTCCCAAAGAAGACATACAAAAGGCCAACAGACAAATGAAAAGATGGTCAACATTACTAACCATCAGGGAAATGAAAAACCACCACGAGGTATCATTTCCATTTAGGGCTCCTAAACTGGCCCCTATACAGAGAGAGCAAAGAGAGCCCTAAGAAAGAGGCAGACCACTTCAGATTGGAAAGTGGCAGGCGTAGTGAACAAAGGAACTTACACAAGAGAGTAGCTGTGGGCAGCTACAGAACAAGTAGATCTCTACACCCACCAGACAGAATCTTAGTTCAGACCCAGGCCTTAGCTGGGTTCACTCATGTATACTGTCCAAAAGTTCTCAACCACACCTTGCTTTCCCAAGTCTGCATTCCTCAAGGCTGTGGGAACAGTGGGCGGAGGATACATTCCAAGGACCTGGAGGTGGGAAGGAGCCCCCGATTGTGTGAGTCAGCTCTTGGGTCAACTGGGGGTCACATCCTCTCCATGACCTCCTCCAAAAACCTGTCAGAGTAGCTGTCACCAAGATGACGAGATGTGATGGCGAGAATATGAAAAAAGGGAACTCCTGTGTGCTGTGGGTGGGATGTAAATCCATTTGGCCACTACAGAACACAGTGTGGAGGTGGCTAAAAAATTTTTAAATAATATAATCCAGGAATCCCACTCCTCAGTATATATCCAAAGAAAATGAAAACAGAATATGGAAAAGATGCCTGCCCCCTCATGTTTATTGCAGTATTATTCATAAGAGCCAAGATATGGGAGCAACTTAAGTATCTGTCAGTGGATAAATGGATGAAGACACTGTGTTGGACATATATATACGATAGAACATTATTCATCCATGAAAAAAAAGAAATCCTGCCACTTGCAACAACATGGATGAAGTTTGATGACATTATGCTCAGTGAGATAAGCTAGACAGAGAAAGACCAATATTGTATATCACTTATAGGTGATCTTGAAATCTTGAAAAACCAAAGTCACAGAAATGGATGGCAAAATGATGGTTAGGAGGGACTGGGAGGTGAAAGAATTGAGAAGATGTTTAAGATACAAACTTGCAACTAGATGAGAATAAATTCTGCAGATCTGATGCACAGCATGGTGATCATATTCAACAACACTGTTTTATGGGGCTTCACAGGTGGCACTAGTGGTAAAGAGCCCACCTGCCAATGCAGGAGACATAAGAGATGCAGGTTCAATCCCTGAATCAGGAAGATCCCCCAGAGGAGGTCATGGAAACCCACTCCAATATTCTTGCCTGGAGAATCCCATGGACAGAGGAGCCTGGCATGCTACAGTCCATAGGGTCACAGAGTCGGACAAGACTGAAGCAACTTAGCATGCACACATACAAAATTGCTAAAAGATCAAGTTTTAAAAGCTCTCATCACAAAAAAGAAATGGTAATTATGTGACATGATAGAGGTGATATAAAGCTACAGTGGGAATCATATTGCAATATATAAATGTATCAAATAAATCCATTATATACCTTAAACTTCCATAATGTAATATATCAATTATATCCCCAAGAGGAAATGTTAAAAGGAAAATACCTTTGAAAACTTTGGTGATACACCATGGAATATTACTCAGCCATTAAAAAGAATTCATCTGAATCAGCTCTAATGAGATGGATGAAACTGGAGCCTATTATACAGAGTGACGTAAGCCAGAAAGATAAAGAACATTACAGCATTCTAACACATATATATGGGATTTAGAAAGATGGTATCGATCACCCTATATGCAAAACAGAAAAAGAGACACAGATGTACAGAACAGAATTTTGGACTCTGTGGGAGAAGGCGAGGGTGGGACGTTTCGAGAGAACAGCATCAAAACATGTATATTATCTAGGGTGAAACAGATCACCAGCCCAGGTTGGATGCATGAGACAAGTGCTCGGGCCTGGTGCACTGGGAAGACCCA